TAACATTGGAGGGATATAAAACTAAAAAAACAAACACACATAAAAAACCAATACAGAATAAGGGCAGGGAAAGGGGAAGAAAATAGGACGTGCAAGTATGGCAAGAAGCAATCAAAAAAGGAAATATGCTGGTTCTAAGTATTGTCAATGACAAAATCTAAGGTCACATTGCAGGTAGCCTGGTTGTACAATAGTCAGGCCCCCAAAGGGTACAAACAATAAAGACACAATGAGCAATAAAAAACCAAAACCTGTGAGAGGAGGCACCATAAAGAGAAACAGATGTCAGCCCAAGGGAAGGGGATATGGAACCGCCCCCATCAGCGGTCTACACCCCTCCCTCCTCCCTCCAGCAAACCAACGCACAGGAAAGGAGAAAAGAAGAAAAAAAAATAGGAGGGATAAGGGAAGGGAAGAGGAAGAAAAAGAAAGAGTAGAAGAATAGACCCGCCTGAGGAAAGGCGCCCAGTGAGACAACAAACCAGTAAGGACTGGAAGGGGAGGAAAAAGATAACTCCCATTCAAGCAGCCAAGAGAGCCTGGAGTGCAGAGGACTCCCTATACATATTCCAGGAGAACCAGGTCTGGCGACAGCGTTCGGAAGTGCCCAATTCCTGAGCCAAGAGCGACTCCATACGTTCAATATAATCCATCTCCTCAACCCACTCAAGAAGGGTCGGGACACAGCTAGTTCTCCAATGGCGAAGTATAACCAGCCTGGCGGCCATCAAACGATGATGCAGAAGTCCGCGTTTGATACCTTTGAAAGAGCCAGGCAGGATAGAAAGCAGAACAACTTGAGGTGTATTGCAGACCATCTGGTCTGTAGCCGCAGAATAGACTCACAAAACAAGATCCCAAAACGCATAACTAGGGGGGCATTCCCACCAGACATGGAGAAGAGAGCTGGGGGCAGCCTGACAGCACCAACAGAGATCAGAGGTGGAAGGGAAAATCCTGTGGAGTAGGGTAGGACATCTATACCACCAAGTGAGCAACTTGAAGTTTCCTGCACTTTACTGGTCAGAGACAAACGGGTAAGAGTAAAGGATTTCAGCCAGTCCTCATCCGAGATCTGTGTAGCAAGGGCCCCAGCCCACTTAGAGACATATGGTGGAAGATCCGGATGCACCTTAAAGAGAAGGATCTGATAAATCACAGAAAGAGGATGCAGAGGAGGAAGATCCCAAAGGAACAAGGATTCAAGTGGTGTGGAGTCGCTGGTCAGCAAATCAAAATCAGCAAAAGTGTGCATAAAGGAGGAGAGTTGCCTATACTCCATCCATTGGGCAAAGAAGGCCCGACTGCAAGTGAGTTTTTTGACCAAATCATCATTTAACTGAAAAGTCAAAAATTGTAAAAAAGTCTTTCAGAGAGATGCAGCACTCTTGAAATTGCTAAGATTTTGAGGCATGATCACAGAACCATCAAACATTTTATTGCAAATGCAACAGGGTCGCAAGAAAAGAAAAAAAAAAAACACAAATTAATTGCCAATGATTTGTGAAGAATCAAACTTGAAGCTATCGGGAACCTATTATCCTCCAGTGCTGTCCTTTTCCAGAACTGCCACCTACCTGGAGTGCCCAGAAGTACAAGGTGATCAGTGCTCAGAGACATGGCCAAGGTAAGGGGGGCTGAAACCCGACCATCATTGAACAAGACACATAAGTTGAAACGCTGAGGGCTAAAAAATTTCCAAAGACAGATTTTTCAAAGGTTTTATGAACTGATGAGATGAGAGTGACCCTTGACAGGCCAGATGGATGGGTCTTTGGCTGGATCAGTAACGGGCACAGAGCTTCACACCAACAAGGTGGAGGTGGGGTTCTGGTATGAGCTGGTAATATTACAGTAATTGTATTGTTTTCAGTGCCTGCTGAATACCCAGACAGTGCCTGCACCAGATTGGATGCAGTCACTGTACAGTCAAATTTTTTTTGACCGACTCCTTCAACAAAAATTGATTGAAAGATTGAATTTTGGGGTCACCCACAGCTTGAATATTAGCCAGTTTCAGACGGAATCAGCCAAAAGTCGAACTGTGTTTGACCACCATCTAAAAATATAGGTTCATCTTTGGGAACATGTTGCACCCGTTGATAGGGTGGAACATGTAACATGTTCCTATTCTCCATTCATTCTCCACAAGTCCCACCCTCTGTGACAGCGGGCCAGGGATCTTCTCCCCGTACATGCTGTCACAATTTGAAAAGAACACCGCCGTGCAGAGCTCCACCCATACAGTTGCAGCATTCATTCACAGAGTTATGTGAATGAATGAACTAAATCTACCATCAAAGATATGGTCCAAAAAGGTTTTTTTTCCAAAAAGATCACATCACAAAGAAAAGTGCAATGTTTCGGAGCTGTGTAGGACCCCTTCGTCAGGCATGTGAAGGGGTCCTGCGCAACTCCAAAACATTGCACTTTTCTTTGTGATGCGATTTTTTTTGAATATAAACCTTTTTTGACCATATTGAGATTCGTGGGTTTGCTGGCGAATATGTACGTTTGCCTATGATGTTTCCAGTCCCAGCTGGTATTCGCTACAACACCCTCTATTGATGAGCCATACTTCCAGGAATGTGTGTGAAGGGAATATAGCTATATTCTACATTTACCGTCGGCCTCAACAGCTGACTGCTTGTAGTTCTCAATAAACTCTGAGGGCGCTGGTGAGCATCCTTGTAGTTTATTGATTCTTCCTGGACTGAAGTAACTGCCTGCCTTTAGAAAGTACAGGAGACAGCTACACTGACAGTCTGCAGGAGCCTGAGATTGCACCTGAGATCAATGCTTTACAAGTTACTAACAAGAAAAAAATATTTTTTTAAAAGTGAACTTATCCTTTAAGGTACATTTTTTTGCCCATGCTTTCTTTGTTGGACCTAGTAATTTTATACTCTACTAGTTCTGAGACCACGCAGTCAATGACAGCAACAGGTCTCAAATTAATGATTGGGAATCACACTATGACATCCAGTCATGTAAAGGTGCCCACTTTTGTCTCTAAATAGGTTTAGCGCCATGCCATGCAGTGCAGAAGAAGGTAAAGGGGATTGTTCTGTATATCATCATTGATAGGGAGCTATTTATTGGGTGTTTACTGCAACTGCATCTGTTTTTATTATTCCCTTCAACAAGATCAGGAAGTATATCATGTTTATTAAGAATAAAGATTTTCCATAAACCACTGCAGTTCCATTTCAGTTTCTAGAAGACCACCAGTGAAGGTCTCCTCCATTCTGCCTTTGATACACATATGCCTGCAAGTTCTTTCATTGCGTTTGTTAAAGTCACATACATAGCTAGATTGCATTTCAATGTATTCAGTGTGATTTGTAGGTAGCTGTTTGTAAGAAATGTGTTCATTGTCTGCATTTGTGGGAGACATGTATACAAGCATATATGATTGCATTGCAGTTTGACAGAACTATTCACAGAAGTGAATTCAGTTTTGGAAAGAAACACAATTCTGCTTCTGTCAGTTTTGCTAGTTAGCTGTGAGCTAACCGTTAGTAGGACAGGATGGGGGGTACGAGAATAGTGTTTACAGAATCCCAGCTGTAAATGAGAGCAGATAGAGGGTGGTAGGGTCTGTTATCAGTGATAACAGAAAACAAAGAACAGATGATCTGCAGCCTAGTGTTTAGAAAGTACAAAATGATCATGTTAGGGCACATGGCACATATGCAATCCTGTTGCTGATAACACCTCACCAGCGACAAGCTCCCTGCAGAGGATAGAGAGAAATAATAACCAGCTTCTATGGTGTCACTATCTTGCTGACAAAAAATGCTCTGGATCTTCAGGACCATGAGGGAGAAACACATTGGAAACAGGTGGGTATTTCTCTGTATAGTGATGTATTGTCACTGGTTTCAGCATCACAAGTGTGTCATGACCTTTAGGCCTCTATCTTACAGGCTTTCGCATCAGGTCGGCTTGTCAGTTTTTCAGGTGGACCTGATCGGAAACTCCATGCAACTCTACAGGCAGGCAGATGTAAACAGACTTGTCTCTATTTACATTCGCCTACCTCTGAGCCGTCCAGTTCTGGAAAAAAAAAGTGACACATCGTAGGTTGCCTGGTGTGAATAGACACAAGTTTGTTTACTTCTGGTTGCCCATAGAGCCATCACAAGTCCACCACAGTTCAATGTCAAAATGAGGACAGAAAACTAATATCTGTCCCGTAAAGCTCCAGTTCAGCAGGGGATCTGCTCATGGATGTCCTGATGAACAGAGTGGAGTGGCACCATGTGAAAGGACCACGTTGATGGGTTTCAATGGGCAAATGTAGCATGCTTTTGGCATCACTTTGACTATTTACAATTTATTGCAGGCCCAGTTGTTCTGCTTCTGCTGCTTTTGCATTCCCCTAGAGAAGCAGTTCTGAAACAAACAAAAGTCTTCAATGCTGGCCATTACTTTGCTAGGCACACTTAGTGGCACTATCTTTCATATGTTTGCTCAAGATTCAGGGGGTTCTTTAAAGCAGAGTTCCACCCAAAAGGGGAAGTTCCGCTTTAAAGATTGGTCCCGCGCTCCCCATTAAGGATTGGCACCTTTGGGGAGCAGGGGGGGAACGGGTACCCGGATTTGACAGGTAACCGCTCCCACTTCCGCTACGATTGCCTAGGCGATCAGAAGCGGAAGTTGTCCTCCTACCCGAAGTCTTGTGGGACGCGTGACATGTCCCAGAAGAAGACGGGGCCATTCAGGAAGCGCAGTGCTACTCACTCACGCATGCGCAGTGGGCACCCGGCTGTGAAGCCAAAAGCTGTCATAGCCGGGTGCCCACACTGAAGATGCCGGCTCCTGGAATATAGGATGGCCGGTGAAATGGGCTGTGGCGGCTGCAACGCGGGATCGTGGGACAGGTGAGTGGCTGTTTTTTAAAAGTCAGCAGCTACAGTTTTTGGAGCTGCTGACTTTTATTTTTTTAAAGTGAGTGGAACTCCACTTTATGGACACCAAATAATTACAAAGCAAACCTACCAGTACAGATAATAGAAGAAGGAGAGCAGGTAAAATGCCAGCTTGCACCAGGCCTCTTTTTGGCAGTAGCTCAGCGTACTGGCATTCATCACTACAGGCGGGTCGTATGCCAACTCAGAGCTGTCGGCTGGGCCATGAAAATACCTGATAGTGGGAAACAAAAACATATGTTATCATAATGGACAGTTTGCAGCATAAGTGTCACATTAGTAATTTGCATCATCGTTGATTTCTCAGGGCTTGTATCTTGGCATATTTTTTGCTAAAATGAAACCAGTAATATTACTTGGCAGGTTTATTTTCATGCAGGAAAGCGTTGGTGCAAATGTAATATCAGAACTGGGACAATGGCTACTGTATGTTAATTGTTCAGGATTATCAGGACTAAAACCATTTTTCTTATAAATAAAAAATACTGCATAAAAATATATTGTACACTATATGGCCAAATGTATGTTGATACCAGACGATCACACCTACACCATATGAACAAAACGATGTGGACATCCCACTCCAAATTTATAAGTTCAGGTGTTGTCAGTAAAGGGAACTGTTATTGTCACAGCCTACAAAGACCTTTTAAGCATTTATGTACTTCCAACCTTTTTGTCATAGCATGACTATGCCAGATCCATAAAGGCATGGTTAGATGAGTTTGGGGGGATGGAACTCAAGTGGCCTGCACCCAACCCTAATGAACACCTTTGAGATGAATTGGTGTGTTGATTCCTAATCAGGTCTTCATCCAGCATCAATACCTGACCTCACAAAAGGGGAACACATATTTCCACAATCACACACCAAAATCTTGTGAAAAGGAGTGGAAGCTGTTATAACCACAAAGGGACAGTCAATTTCATATTAACACCCATGGTTTTGGAATAAGGTGTCTGAAAACTGTTTTTTGCAATATAGTGTATTTTCACATTCAATCATGTGCTTGCTCCTTTTCATTTGTTTGCCACGCTCTTTTTAGTGCTTCTGCCAGTTGAAAAATGCCTAGCTTTAGGGAGCTCAATATGAAATTTCAATAAGACAGAGAGAGTCTCAAAGTTAACAGTTTCTCTGTTTAAAAAAACCATAGGGGGAGATTTACTAAAACAAGTGCACACAGAATCTGGTGCAGATGTGCAACATAATCAATCAGCTTCCAACTTCAGCTTGTTCACATCCGGTGCGAATTGGCATGCGATTTTCATGCCATGCGACTTGCAAATCATATGCCTAGTCACACCCTATTGTCTGCAGTTACAGCGGTCAAATTGGACTTGGTCAGAGCCGCACCGATTTCTAAAGAAGTGCGTGTACTACTTTCGGTGAGATTTGCATAGACATCTATTTCAGATGTCTTGCAAATCGCACCTGAAATCGGCATTTCACCGATTGTAAGTCGCACGATTTCAAAGTCGGGTTTGATGTGACTGGGGGGGTTAAGCTTTGAAAATAAAACCTAGAAGGTAATTGGTTACGTTGCACAGCTGCACTAAATTCTGTATGCACCAGTTTTAGTGAATCTCCCCAACAGTGTTCAGTGAATCATCAATGTTTCTAATAAAAATATACTATAAAATAATATATTAGTATAATACAACATTATATATATATATATATATATATATATATATATATATATATATATATATATAAAATATATATAAAAAAGTAAAGAAAAATATATAGACACGCTGTGTAATTCAAATAGATAAAACACATTAGTATAGTAACTGAAATGCAAAATAAAATTGACTGAAAACTTAAATACTTTCCCTTTAAAGAAAATCTATCATAATCACAAAAACCCCCAACCTTGAAATGGAAATTTGCAGATGAGCTCTTTATTTTAATACTGTATTGAGAGGTGAAGGGTTAAAACCTCTGTTGAGTTTTTGTTGCTGCCAGTGTATGTGCTGCAGAGATTTTAGATTGTTTTCTTTTCCTGTGACACCTGATAATAAGAAGGGAAAATATCCCTAGTAGAGACAGGCATTTATCTAAAAGAAAAAATTGGCTGAAGTTGGGTTTTGATATAACTGCAATGTGCTGCATAGAATAGAGTGTACTTACCTCCATATATGATAGAAAAGCAATGGTGCATTTAACCCAAGTGTTAACCATTCCTCCGCACAAAGAAACATTATACAGAATAGACTGTGTATGGAATATTCTGGGAGAACCAGCTAAACACAGAACAGAATAATACATGTTAGCAGACAAAATGTAAAATACAAAAAAAACTATTCAAAAGCAATTAATAAAAATGTAGTGTGGTAGATGGGAATGACTAAATTGCAGCTTGTACTAAACTTGTATAAAGGACAAAATGATACAGGTGCAGTTTTAGTTTAGTCTTATTATACTTACCTGTCTGTGCTCTGTCCTGGTGGGCACCACACAGACTCTTCTTTAGAAACCTCCCAGCCATGTCTACTAAGATGTCTGTTCTACAAAGGCATCCAGAAATCCTTGTTCAGCTCTACTATAGTAGAACCTAAGCTTTGACCAAACAATAGCTATCACTAATACAGCAACTCATTTGACCATCTCAAGGAACTGGAAACAACAACTCATCCTTATCCCATAGGTCAAACACCAAATGTAAATACCATCCAGAAAAATGAATGGGCATTCTGAACGCCAATCATACAAATTCCTATGCATAGAGGGGGCCATTTGCATTCCATCCAGGAAGAGATATTAACAATTTGGCATAACTCCCATGCAGTTATATTCAGACCCATCTACCCAATCAGCTCCAATAAAACCCTTGATGATGGACCTGTCTTTCTTCTACCTTATCTTATCATCGAATCTCCCTTCTTTTTGTTTTCCTTTTCTTCTCCCTCTTAGGTCTCTTATCTATTTTGACCGTACAGGCATAGGCTGTCCTACATGGACATGGTAAGATGGAACACCCAAAAATGACCTGATCCACACAAGTGAGGTGGATGGAGAATGCTCGTTGCAGTGTTACAGCTGAGGAGTCCCTGCTGTCAGAATACACTGATCAGTGCTGCAGCCACTGATTGAATAACATTTTCCAACAGTCCTTTTTGAGAGAAGTTGATCAATAAATCAACTTCTCTTGAACGGGAACAGCCATAGATAAATCAAAATTCATCCGTTCCTTGCTGAATTTTGATTAATCTATGACCACTTTAATACCTCAATATGTAGATATAAAGTAATTGTTGCTTCAGGTGGCTCTATGGCTAAAATATTTTTACCTTAAGGCCCCCTTTTACACTAGTGGTCCAATTGGGTCCGTCTCTCTGTTTTTCAGATGGACCAGATCGGACCCACTATTCTCTTCTCTGGAGCAGCAAGTGTAAACGGACATGCGGTTAACTCCAGTTCAATCCACTAAAAAAAATGGGTGGGGGATCAGTTTCCCTACATGTGGGACAATTGGATCAGATGGCAGGTGGGTGTAAACAGACAGGTGAGCCATCTACATCTGACTGCCCATAGAGGAGAATGGGCTGTGTCTGTGTCCACTCTGCATAAGCATAACAGACATTGATCAGTCATCTGCCCGCTCAGCGGGGGGGATCAGCGGACAGACCCCCCCCGAACAAGTGGACTTCTGATGGAGTTCGCCCCGTGTGAAAGGGCCTTATGTATTTCCTGCTTTAAGTTAACAAACCTTTTGCCACTTGCTGTGCCCCCCCCCCCCCCCCTTCCTAGACATTTACCTGAGTCCTGTATCAATCCAGTGCTGTGCCCATCTGCAGGTCTTCTCCCTTGCCTTTCTCTTCTCACAGGAGGATTGGGCAGCAGTAGGAGCCGTTGCTGTCAATCAAATCCTGTGAGCAGAGAAGAGATGGCAAGGCTGAGCCGCACTGTGTGTATCTATGAACACACACAGCCCGACTCAGGAGTGAGCCTGCTGCGTGCCCCCAATGCAAATGGCTTGGTATTCAGGCAGACACTGAAGAGGAGCAGACAGCACTGGCTTCTTTGAAAGGACCACAACCAAAATAGTGGGGAAATATACCTGCTCTGGAAGACCCATTCCTGGCATCCTGTACACTGGCCATACACTGATTGAAATGTGGCTGGTCCAGTAGAGACCAGATTAATTTCGATCAGTGTGTTGGCACCCCTGCTTGACAGAAGTTGATTGTTTAATTGATTTCTGTTGAAGGGACATGTTAGAAAATCTTCCACCGATCAGCAGATGCAGCCAAACATCTGTAGCTGCCGATCAGTGTATTCCAATAGCTGCAAGCAGAGGTATTCCTCCATCAGAGAAGTTGGTGGTCACCTTGAAAGATGCCTGAATATCCTGCTGTGGAGAAAAGCAAATGAAGGCATTATCAGGGGAAGAAATGTGGTGACAGGTAATAAATACCAGTCAGTCAACACAAAACTAATATTTTGGTAGTTGCTGAAACAGTCTGAGCATTTATTCTATCTCTATGGGATTCTATAGCAGCCATAAACATGGCAACTTACTATCAATTTCGTCTTCTTGAATTTCAGCAATCAAACTGGACTATAATTTGACAGTTACAGGTGGTTGGAAAAAATGAATGCAAACCAGAAGGACAACAATTTCTGCTGATTGAATTTTTCTGGTTGTTTGATTGAGGCATTTCCTATCTGTGAAAAGATCCTACATCTGCCACTAGAATGTGGTGATCACACTCTCAGCCTAACCCTTCCAGCTTAGGGACAACAATCTAAGCACCAGGAGAATGATGGTGATCGTCACTGGGGCAGGTTAAAGAATAAGTTCACCTTTGGAACATGTTACATGTTCCACCCATTTTTAGTGTGGAACATGTAACTGTTCCCATAGCAGCAGCCATGCCCACCACCCCTCCCTTCCTCTGACAGATTGTATGGGGAGAAGTCTCCTCATACTATCTGTCAGATTTGAAAACAGCTCTGCCCACACGGACACATCATTCATTCATGGACTTCCATGAATGAATGAACTGCAAGTCCTGACAACATTAGCGTTTGTGGGCTTGTAGTTTTCAATGAACTACCATGAAGCTGTGGAGCCCCGTGGTAGTTCATTGAAGCTTCCTGTCAGAATATCTGCTTGAACGTACATCCCATACAGCAAGCAAACATTCTGACAGGTTTGCAGGAGATCTGCATGGTATCAGTGATCTACAGATCGCTGGTGCAATGTTTTCCATGCTCCTTCTACAAAAATAATAAATGCACATTTTTTTACCTGCAAAAAAAATGTGCATTTATTATATTTGTCCAAAAAGAACTTATCCTTTAACTGACCAGTTATCCCTTTATACAGCCACCACATGTTTTAACAGAAACACACACTGTTCACTTCATCTGCTGTTGCAATTCTAACATTTAGACCTCATTCACACCATACGTGCAGAAAAACTGATGGAAACTGACACGCAGATTTCATTTTTCATACATCAGTTTTCATACGCGCTTCAATTAGGTTTATACACGCTGAAGATTCCTGTGCAGAAAAAATCTGCCCGTGATACTAGTGCTATGGTGTGAACAGGGCACATAGAGAACAAATGATTTTGTTGTGCCTTTGCAGAAAATGTGCAGAAAAACTGACGTCTCTACACCTCTGGTGTGAACAAGCCCTTAAAGAAAATGTCTGTATCCCACTGCTGCCACCACAATATGATGGTTACACTGTCAGATCCCACCATTGTAACCATTTCTGCTTATCAAAAACTGCTCACTGGGTGTCTGTATTTGTGCAAAATCTAATAAAACTTTATTCCTTAAAAAAAAAAGTCCACTGGAGGCTCGCATTCCACTCCCAGTGTCTTACCTATTTAGAGTTTGGCTCCCATGCTAACTGCTATACTAATTACCCTGTAAAATGAGGATGCTTATACTTACCTATTCCCTGGGCACTCCAGTCTGGTCATGTGATCCCCCCAGCAGTTGGCTTCAGGGGAGAGGAGAGAGTGCTGATGACGGATGGAATGCCAGGGCGGTGATGTCACCCATAGGCTTAGTATGGACCATCAGTTGTCAGTTGTCCCTCCTCTCCCCATGACTGGACTGGAGCGTCCTGAAAATAGGTAATTATAGGCATCTTCCTTTTACATGGTAGTTAATATAGGTGTTATACTGGGATTCAGAGCAGTTTTAAGCTAAATTAGTTAGAGCCTGGACTTCTACTTTAAGATCTCTTAGCCCCTAAAACTCTAATCATTTGATTTACTGGATAAAATTTAGTATGAGCATCAGCATTGGGCACCTTAACCTGGCATTCGGTTTATCCCAGAGCACCAGTTTGAGTTTAACCTACTTTCCAGATTATCTACAACATGCCATTCATGACAGGTCTCAGTGGGAGTCGTGCACAGACCCCTGGCTAAGTGCTGATTATGATACTGCTGAATATCTTCATAGCTGTCCTGTGTTCTGTCAAAATGTGCTTTAAGCTATGAAATGTGTCACCTTCTCTGGCTGCCTACCACATACATGAGATTTAAATCTGACCATTTCTGTTACCGAATTGTACATCTGGACAAAATAAAGATGGCAAGGTGTTCAGTATGACTCCCTATTCTCCCTACACAATTTGGGGTTCATCAGACCTCCTTACTGTCACATCATCAGCTTGTGGTCAATAAAACCAATAATTTCTGTGTTCGATCATTTAATTACTACTCAATCAAAAGTTTTTGAAATTACTGGAAAGTTGCCACATGTATGATCAGCCTATTAGGTAGCAGACTAAGGAGATATGGCAAATTACACTCAGACTACAACAAAATGGCGCCCAGATAGATCATATATATGCAGGATGAGCGCCTTGCTGTCTAATCATGCCCTCTGATGAAGCCACGTGACCCTGTGGCGTAACGCATAGGGGAGGGGCTTTGACGTCACGACGCTCGGAGGAAAGTAGAGAGCGCTACAACTGGCTGCGGATTAGTGAATGAAAGATCCATACTGATAGCAGTACTCTTTGGGAGATATTTTGTATAAAGTGCTAATATACTTCTTACATGTGAGTGGAATACTGTATATTTGTTATAGAATAAATGTTTTGTAAGGATAAAGCACTATGTTATGGACATCTCTTTTGGCATTGATCTGATGGAGGAGGATAACTAGGACAGTGAAGGAGACTCAGACTTACTGGACATCTTGACCATCCTATAATAGTCCACAA